TTTACATACCTTTAAAACATAAGTAAAAAATATATTACGTGTATTTATCAATAAGTTATTAATGACATAAACTTGAGACAGTGTCTTTGGATTATACTCCCCCTATAAATAAACGCCTTCATTCTTCACGAAGTATTCTACTCTAATCAAACATAGCATTTTTGTATCAATCGTGACAAAACGCAAATCAAGTATCGCACAAACACCAGCAATGATAGCACATTTCATCAAATTCTATATTTATTTATTTATGTTTGACTTCTTTCGACTGATAAATGTTTCTCTTGTGATAATAAATGCTAATACCTTTTTCAAAACTGTTTAAATCGCAATAATTTTATAAAAAAAAACAATAAATCTTAATTTCATGCAAATCACAAAAAGGATCCGAAAAAAGTATAGCCATCGCAAAAATATGTTGCAAACATAGTATAGCATTCACTCAAAACAAGAATAGCCCAATTTCTCTAAAAAGCGTAATTTATAGAAATCTGATGATGTTTTGTGGGTGAATTGAGGCGAAAACTTAGATACAATAACTTTTACAACAGAATATAGTTTGGAAAAAATTAAGAACAATTGAAATAATTCAAAATGAGCGAAAATCCCATTTTAACTTAGTAAATGAGAATGGTATCGAATTTCTAACTTGTTTCAACTTAAAAATTTTCTCAAATATATTTACATTGATTCTATAAAGGTTTAATAAGTTTTCTAATTTCTTAAAGTTACTTTTACCCATATTTTGCCTGCAGCATTTTCTTTTTTACCCATAATGCATCAGAGTACCCAAAGCAATATAGCAAGTGATCCAAATCAAGAAGATTTTCGATTAGCACTTTGAATACAGTGTTTTTGTAACCAGGATTTTTTATTCTTCATTCAATAGAAAATTCACGGTGTAGCGTGTCTAACATTTGGTTGCAATTTTTTTTTCACGCCTATTGAATTTTTAATAATATGTTTACCCTAACTGCATGCTGTTTGTATATGCACAACGTGTACAATGTGGCTTGGTTACCTACTTAAGACGATCAATAGTTGTGCACATTTGCATTCGATACCTAGCTGTGAATCTGATATTATAATATCAAACTGCATAATACCCCTCTTTGGTCAAAATTTTTGTATCCATTTTAACACTTATGCAATTTATAACATCTTTATGAAAATAAAATTGACTTTATTCATGTGCTGATAATTTCTTGATTATTTTTTTTCAAAGAGACCATCCTTTAACCGTCATTTTTCCCGTCTAGATAAGGAAACAGAATAGATCAGGAAGAAAAAGTTAGGTCATATTTGTAATGCTTAGATTCTGGACATCTAGCTACTACCTTCCTGGACAATTCCGAAAAGCTCGGCAAAAAATTTCTGAGGATGTCGTAAAGACACGTCAATTTCGTTTTATCATCTGAAAATACATATAATCTGAAGTTTCGAGATTTGTGGTCTAACCTGCACGTAAATGTACACAAAGTAACAGTAACTCGGGTTGTACAAGAATAAAACCAAGACTTTTATTTCTAAAATTGTAATAATATCTAGCTTTTCTAATCTACCTTCATGGATCTTTCCGGAAAGTTCAGAAAACCACGGCAACCTCGGATATGTTTGCCAGAAAGGTCCGAGAAGATGCAATTGCTAAACAAGAGGCCCATGGGCCACATCGCTCACCTGAGCATATTGGCTAGAAAAAGGCACAAATCAATTAAGTATTGAAAAAATGGGCTTGAATTTTAAACTATTTGAGAATACTTTAATATCAATAACAATGGCTTTACTGTACTTGAACAGAATTTTTTTCCTATATATTCGTTTGTAAAAATTTCATTCCCATTGTGAACCCTCCCTACCCCTGGAATCATAATTTGAACAAATGTAAATATATTACACAATGATGCTTTCATATCAATTAACTATGGCATTTCCAATCTATAGAAGAGGATTTTTCCTATAGATTTTATTTATTTTTGCCCAACCCTACCCTCCGCCACGCCCCCCCCCCCCGCCCGTCATGATTTGAACAAACGATCCTAAACTACCTAAAGGAAACTTTCATTTAAATATGACCAATCAGAAAAAAAAATTCCTATATATTCCTATTCAAAACTTTGATTTTCCGTTGTGGCTCGGCCCTACCCCGGGGGTTATAATTTGAACAAGCTTGATTCTACACTACTTAAGAATGCTTCCACACAAGTTTTATCTTTCCTGGCCCAAAGGTTCTTGAGAAGAAGATTTTAAAAAAAATTTCCCTATATATTCCTAAGATGTAAGACTGATTTTCCATTGTGGCCCTGCTTTATCCCCGGGGGTCATGATTTGAACAAACTTGATTGATTCTACACTTCCTGAGGGTGTTACCACATATGTTTTATCTTTCCTAGCCCAGAGGTTCTTGAGAAGAAGATTTTCCCATATATATTCCTTTGTAAATCTTTGATTTTTCATTGTGTCCACGCCCTACCCCCAGGGGTCATAATTTGAAGAAAATTGATTCTACACTAACTGATGAAGATTCCACATAAGTTTTATCTTTGTAAGCCCAGTGGTTCTTGAGAAGAAGACGTTTTAAGATTTTTCCTATTTATTCCTTTGTAAAACTTTTTAAAAATTTTCCTTTGTGGCTCCTCCCTACCCCCAGGGATCAAGATTTGAACAAAATTGATTCTACACTAAGCGACAATGCTTCCACATTGTTTCATCTTTTCTGGCCCAGTAGTTCTTGAGAAGATTTTAAAAAGATTTTTCCTATGTATATCTATGTTAAACTTTGATCCCCCATTTTGACCCCGCCCTTACCCCAAAGGCCATGATTTGAACAAATTAGAATCTTCACTACCTGAGGATGCTTCTACATGAGTTTCATCTTTCCTGGCCCAGTAGTTCTTGAGAAGATTTATAAAAGATGTTTATAAAGTTGAAACTTTTACAGTTTGTAAATATATAATTGTTTAACAGATAGAAGGTATAACTTGAAAAAAAAATTTAAAAATATATCTATTGAGAAAAATATATAAAATATATTTTTAAAAATTGAATATTTTGAAATAAAATGTGCCTGCTTAATACTGTACTTTTAGTGAAAACCATCATTGAAGAAATATGTTTATAAATGAAGGACAAGTTGGCCGTGATTGGTATTTGAAAGACTCGTATTAAAAGCATGGCATGTATAAAGCTTCAGACAAAACCCCATTTGCAATGTACTTTCGGTTTCAAATCTTAACATTTGAACGAAATAAACAGGGAAAATAGCTTTCCAGAAGATATGATTAATCGAGGTCCAACTTGGCTTTCATTGATAAACATATATATATATATATATATATATATATATATATATATATATATATATATATATATATATATATATATATATATATATATATTCTGCAATGATGGCTTTCACTAAACGTATGGAATTAATAAGGTGTATTTTTTTTTAAAATACATGTGTATTATAGACATATTCTTTACATAAAAGAACTTTTCTCGATAAACATATTTTTACTCAGTATTTGTTATCAAGTGGTACTTTCTACATTGCATCTGTTCATCAATTATGTATTTATAAACTGTTAAACTGTTATATACGGAAGCCCATTTAGGACCTATCAAAAAATATTTTTGAATTTGTTATAATGATTTTTAGAATTCGTTATAACAAATTTAATTTGTTATAACAGATTTATTGAATTCGTTATCACGAATTTAATTTGTTATAACAGATTCATTGATTTTGTTATAACGAATTTAATTTGTTATTACAGATTTATTGAATTTGTTATAACGAATTTAATTTGTTATAACAGATTCACTAATTTGTTATAACGAATTTAAATTGTTATTACAGATTTGTTGAATTCGTTATAACGAATTAAATCTGTTATTACAGATTTGTTGAATTTGTTATAACCAATTCAAAAATTCGTTAAAACAAATTCTTCAATTGGTTATAACGAATTCAACAAATCTGTAATAACAGATTTAATTCGTTATAACGAATTCAATATATCTGTAATAACAAATTAAATTCGTTATAACAAATTAGTGAATCTGTTATAACAAATTAAATTCGTTATAACAAATTTAATGAATCTGTTTTAACGAATTGAATTCGTTATAACGAATTCGATGAATCAGTTATAACATATTAAATTCGTTATAACGAATTCAATAAATCTTTATAACAAATTAAATTCGTTATAACGAATTCTAAAAATCGTTATAACGAATTCAGAAATATTTTTGATAGGTCCTAAATGGGCTTCCGTAGTTATAGTTTTGGAGTTTGTAAAAATGAATTTTTGGACATGTTGATCTTTGGTGAAACCTTTAAAAATTGTTAGCACATATTTCTCACCTTTGCATGCTCCAGTTGAATGTTGTTTACAAGTCTGAGCTAAAATTTTGACGAATTGTGTAACTTGAATTTGTGTAAACGACTCTGTATTGAGTGAATCGTGTTCTCAATTTCATCAGTGCGTTTCCTTAGCGATGTCGCAAGGCTCGAATTTTGTTGTCTATGTTTTGAATACTAGTAAGTAATCCAGTTTTGATTCGAACATTCCTTTCATACTATCCTGACTGCTTTTTAAATAAACAAACCACACTCAATACTTTATCAAGTTTATCTGAGATTGAAAGGTCATTGTTATATATCGTCGGAGGCCCTTAATTCGTTAAACATGTAGTCCTAGAGTCGTGCCCTTTTCCCCAGAGTATTTCTCAAGATTGTGTTCGCTGCTGCACCATATATCGTAAAGATACTTTGAACGAGATGTAAAAAAAAATTAAAGGCATTATTTTTTTAGCTATCAGTTCAATTTAAAGGCGAAAATGTAATAATTAATGTATGATTTACGAAATGAAATAGTATTTCAAATTTATTTATAAAACGAATATGATCAAATAAGTTACGACTCATGGACCTCCGAGGATATATAATATAGTTTCTCATAATGATTATCATTGATTGTCATTTTTACTTTCAGAAACAGAATGGCGAAAGGAGGGCTATCTCAAACAACAAGAAAAAGGTTAGGAGAAATCATGCCTGGCACGTGTTTTCACATTATAATACGGTTTACTTTCATGCATAATACATGGGAAATGATACTTTACTGCTACATTACAAGGAATTATAACTTATAAGGTCTTATGATCTTTTAAACTAAAATTCATCCAAAGAAATAACAAAATTCCCAACATTGATTTTCCTTGTAAGGAATCTAATTTAATTTAAGTCTTATCTAAAATAGTTTTGAATTCGTTAAAATGTGTCTTAAAAATGTTAATACCATTAAATTCTTTGGAACGAATTAAATCTTATATAAAAATTTGTGCTCCATATTTCATTGAATTTGTTTAAACGAATTCAAATACTAGTAATTATTATTGCAAATTTAACTTGTTTTAATTGAAATATTATTTGATTTGTTATTAAGAATTAAATTCGTTTTAAGAAATTCACCATTTTGAAATATAGAATCAATATGTCTTAAATGTTGAATTTGATTAAACGAATCGTAATTACTTTTCGCTAAAAATAAAATACACTGTACCATATTTAAGGACAAATCGCTAAATTTGCGTCTCTTTAATATTTCCAATTATACGGTATCTTATTTCATCTCAAAGTTATTGAAACTTCAAATTTCTGGCCGGGTTTGATTGAGACGTTCTTGCACTTTCACAAATTATAATTGTATACTTAATAATATAGAAAATTCAGAGTAAACATGTTCGAAAGGAAAACGCGCTCAAAGTATATTGTCAGTCCGTGCTCAGTGGTGTGACTTGTGCAGACTTTAACAATTGAACACACCCTGTAATCGTAAAAATTAACAATAACAGAGCTCGTGCCCTGTTTACAGTTTATGTTTCAAGGGTCTATTCAATTTGTTAAACTCTTGGGAAGTGTTTTTGCATTATATAAGTCGTAATACTCCCAGTATTATATAGACAATTTGAGAAAATATTAACTTCAAATCTGTGTCTATGCACCTTTAACTCAAGTCCACATCTCAAAAGTCCGTTTTATGTTATTAAAGTCATAGGTCAGTTATAACATGAGACCAACACGTTTGATACAGGAGGGGGAGGGGTTAAACAATAAACAATAATATTTTTTATTTAGTACGATATGAATTAATTATGTTTTTTATTGGAGTTAGATAGCAATATCTAGTAAAACTTTTTATTCAAAATATTTTATAAAGGGTTGTTTGGTGAGAAGGATAAGATGCGTTGGTGTGTCGTTGAAAAGAATAAATTTCGGATCTACAAGAAACCTAAGGAAACTCAGTTCAAAGAGTTTTGTCTAGAAAACTGCGAGTTTAGACATATAAAGGGCACGGAGAAGTATGACCATGAACGGATTTTCCAACTCATTTGTGATGAAAAGACAACGTTAACAGTAAGTCCATCGTTGATTAAAATATAAGTTCTTTAAGTTTGTTTTATGCACTGCTATGAATATGGAATAAGGCATAAAGTATTTGTCGTGTCCGTCTACCGTTAACGGTAAAAGCAGTCGAATGGCGAGGAGGCGACCTAATTCAAGTAATGCTTCATTTGTCGGTGATAGGGTCGTTTAAACAGTGAAAGCATCCTTTTAATGACGATTAACAAGTAGGAGAATAATTATTTTACTGATATCTCGCGTCTCGGGAGTTAGCTCCGCGAAATAAAGTTGTAAAAGGTAGGCAGAGTTGCGACACCGGCTGGTGTCGCCGAATATTCCCACTTTTCAATATGGCCTCCGCTCTACTCTCCCCCGCACAAGTCATAATATAAAAGCGGGGTTTAGAGTCGGAGGAATCTCGGATTAATGTCACGGATAACGGATTTTTATTTTCTAATTGAATTGCGACATTAAAATGAAGTGAAAGAGACGTGCGGCTGTTGTCAGCGAGAAGGATTAAAAACAATGATTTTGCACGAGGAGAGTGGATGTTTTCCGTTATTGCGAATTTTCCTTTTCGTTTGGATCGAAATTACGCGTAGAGAATGTTCCGTTATTGAGAACTTGCCTTTTCGTTTGGATCGAAATTACGTGTAGATTCTCTGTGGATAAGTTTTTAAAAGTGATTGAGAAATTTTTACATTTTACATTCTCAGGAAAATTCCGAGTATTTCTCTAAAATTTATGATCGGAAAATATTAGCATTTACTATTTGTACATGTACGTGTTTTCGCTAAATTGAATCATATTTATTTTTAGACCATGCTGTAATTTAGATACAGAATAGTTGGCAAATACAATACGGTATACAGGCCTAATACAGAACGGAAAGTAGCTCCGCGCCCACCACAGCCCCGTTCTGTATTGCTAATCAGAACAGTAAACTTCAAAGAAAAACACCGCTATCGTGTCACAAGTTTACTATATTGGACGATATTTCAAAACCATTGGACTCAAATAATGAAATGAATGATACATTACTTCAAAGTATTCTCCGCGGTTTGAATTACGTAATTTCAATCTAATCCATTTCCGAAATGCGTCAGGGTACACTGATTTAGGTTGTGACACGATAGCGGTGTTTTTCTTTGAAGTTTACTGTTCTGTATTAGCAATACAGAACGGGACTATGGTGGGCGGAGCTACTTTCCGTTCTGTATTAGCCCTGTATACCGTATTGTATTTGCCAACTAATCTGTATCTAAAATACAGCACGATCTAAAAATAAATCTGATTCAATTTAGAAAAAGCACGTACAAGTAGTTGTGACATGACCCGGCGAGTTTTCCTTTGAAGTCAAGCGTACTGTAACTGCGATACAGAACACTTTTTATGGGCGTTTCTTATGCAAATGAGCAGAAACTGTACTGTATCTGCAAAATATCAACGATACAGTACGGCTTATTTTTAGCGATGACGGAAAGCTGAATCTGTATACAGACACAAGAATCGTTCAAAACACTGTTAGTATTTACTCAAAATTTGAGGTGAATTAAGAATAAAATTTTACAACGTAAAGTTATTAGTGTAGGATTCAAAAAGTTTAGAAAGGAGGGAGTGGGACAGCTCACAAATGATTACTTTGAACCCCCCCCCCCCATAAAAAAGAAGTGAAAACTCGTATATTTCGGGGAGGGTAGATTTATAACCAACCAAGACACTATGTTGTGCTATCGTTTCTTGTTGATAAATTAAAAAGCGCATGTAAGTTTGGCGGAAATCATTTACGAAAGCGAAAAAGAACAAAAAAAAAAACTCACAGGAGGGTTGAGTGGGGGGGGCACCAGTGAGTGCTGGGATCCCCTTTGGCTATTCTACATTTTATTAAAAACATGAAGGTAAAATACTCCTCCTCCCCCCCCCCCCCTTTCCTTTCATCTGTTTATTTCAATTTTTTTATATTACGACAGGTGGAGGATATTGTCGGACATTTCTCTCAGAATACGTTTTCCCGGAAGTATTTTTGTTTCAAAAACATTCCCACATGATTCTTATATATTAAAATGCTTTGCATTAAATCGTAGCTTTAATTAAAAAAAAATGTCGGCAACAGCTGAATAGAGGAAAAAAAACCCTACGCAATCAAATCTAAATTTATTATTTTTTTTTTGGGGGGGGACAAATTATTTACAAGTAATGAATCTCCTAAATAATTATTTTAAAATGATAAATACCTGCACGTCCACCTCTCTCGGTATTTCAGTTGTGAATGCTTAAAATGGGATACAAAATCAATTTTCTGCAAAATCACCTGATTGGTTGAGAGATGTGTACCCAAATACGCATGTAAATTAGTGAGGTTATTAAAAAGGTCATGTCACAAGTCATTTAGAATACTCGTTTCCTACTGTATCGGAGATACAGGGCGGGGCCCGGCTCGAGCTATCGCTCTCGCCTCAAGCCTCGCCCTGTATCTCCGATACAGTAGGAAACTCGTACTCTAAATATAACTAAATGCTTTAGTTTTCCTGTTATAAATTTTGGAGAAATACCCGGTATTTTTGTCAAAATTTCTCAATAACTTTTCAAAAAACTTATTCCATACTGAATCTACACGTAATTTGGATCCAAACGAAAAGGAAACTTCACAATAAGTTTACGGAAAACATCCACTCTCCTCGTGCAAAATCAAGTTCATTTTTTTTCCGCGTTTTTATTTTCTAAAATCCTTCTCGCTGACGACAGCTACACGTCTTTTTCACTGCGTTTTTAATGTGGTTATTTAATTAGAAAATAAAAATCCGTGACATAAATTTCCATCGAAGAATTTTCTGTCAATCCTTTTTTTAAATCTAGTAAAACCGGGATTTTAAGACCCGTGAAATATATTATGATCAATCAATAGATCACAACAATTACGGTTAAATCTCCATTTAGACTGACTATCACTCGATTACGTCTACCCCGTTAAATTGTCAAAACTAATCTGACCGAATCTTACGTTTTCCGTGGAAATATATACACTGCGGATGTGTACTCCCCGTCGGGGCCTCATCTACAGAACTCGCGGAAGTTCGGATGTTGCACAGTTATAAAGTGGGCGGAGCTATTTTTGATTGATCGTGTCACAAATCATTTAGAGAACTCGACAGATTCTGAATCGTAGATACAAATTTGGGGGGTGGAGACTCGTGCTACGCACTCGTCCACCCCCAAATTTGTATCTACGATACAGAACCCGTCTCGTTCTCATTGCATGTAGAAAAACCCTCATGTATTGATTTCTGCTTTGTATTTAGTAATATTTTATTTTAGTTCATTGCCTCAACAGAAGATTATCTACATTGGAAGGATGCAGTTATTAGAGGGAAAATGTGTATGACTCTTCAATGTTTTATGGATTCTCGAGGTATTAAAAAATTCAAAAATATTAGTTTATTTGTTTTTCAAGCTGCGCTATTTATACATGTATTTAGAATTTAAATGAGGATCTAAAAGTAATTGTCTGTACATGTAGATGAGTACTGTAGATCATTAAATTTTCGCGACACCTTATTTTCGCGAGATAGTCATTGACTCTTGATTAGCGAGAAAAAAATTTTCGCGAGTTGTGGTTATTGCTTTATATATTCTTAAGGAATACTATTATACGCGAGAATTAAATTTTCGCGAGCACACTGTCTCGCGTAATCACGCGAAAATAAAGTTCTCGCGAATAAAAAGTGATTTACAGTATTGATTGAAATGTGCAGTCATGGTGCATTCTCAGAGATCATCCTCCATTTGAATTTAATTTGTCTTGGTGTTGAGCAGATAAACAGAGTTCATAGTTATGATGACCAAGGGTGCTTTTACAAAAATTTTGAAACTTGTTTGTGGTCCCAGTGTCATGGGTTCTGGGGTGTGGTGGCTCTCTTAGTGAGAAAGTGAAGATGTTTTATTTGTTTTCAAAATTCAAAACAAAGTGTATGGTTATGATGATCAGGTACCTCTTCCAAATTTGTGAATTTCGTGACGCTGGGTCATGGGTTCTCGTGTTAGAGTAGGACTCCGTTATTCTGTTGTGAAATAATCTTCTCTGCTCCTGGGTATATCAGACGAAATTTTTAATAAGTAAGGGGGTTTTTACTATAATTGCTATCCGTTTTCGTCCGTCGGCGTTCGTCGTGCGCCATGCGTCGTGCTTTAACATTTGAACGTTTTCAGCTTCTTATCTGAAACCGCTTGAACAATTTTAACCAATTTTGGCATATAGCATCCATGGGTGAAGAGAAACAAGAATTGTGAATTTCATGGTCCCTGCCCCTTGGGCCTGGGGGTAAGGCCAAAACCACTAAAATTAATGCAATTTTCTTCTTTACTCTTGGACATCAAGCAGTCAAACTGTTGGTATTCGTGATTGTAATCAACATGGAATCCTGTACCAAAATTGTGAAATTCATGGCCCCTGGGTCAGGGTTTCTAGAGCTACGGTGGGGCTAAATAGATTATGTAGTTAAAATGCATTATTTCTTTGAAATTCTTCTACTCTGCTCCTGGGTATTATCGCAAATCTCGCTTCAAAGCACAGGAGTCTGAAGTTTTTATTGTTAAAAAAAAATAATAACAATCCGAAAAAAAAATTCCTACCCTTATCAAAAAAAGCCCGTTTTTTTTTTAGTTAAGGGTAGGATTTTTTTTCCGAATTATTATTTTTTTTCATTTTTATTATTTTTTTTACTATAAAAACTTCAGACTTCTGTGCTTCAAAGTATACACTGCAGCCGAAATAGCGTTGTGTTGAGTGATGACACTGTTGGATTTGACAGTTGAACAATTTGAATCAAGGGTTTGATTCTATAAAACAAGCGTTATAATTTAGGGAATAACTATCTTCTAATTTGGTATTTGCGACCGTTAATGCTGATTTAACGGTCGCAAACTGAGTTTTACCGGCGACGCGTAAGCGGAGCCGGTAAAACGGATGTCTGCGACCGTTAAATCAGCATTAACGGTCGCAAATACCAAATTAGAAGTTTAGTTATTCCCATTCTAATGCAATACGTGCATTTTGTTTGTTGTTTACCTCTTATTTTGTTGAGTTTTGTTACATGAAATATGTCACGGGGCATTGTGTTTTTGCGTCGCTCTATTATGACGTCACAATGAAAAGCTTTCTGCCTCGTTAATGCTCGTTTCACTGCTTCAAACATCAGTGCATTAGCCAATGAAAGCGTGTTTTACAAAATAATTGCATTAGAATGGTTGATTAAGACCCGCCCACTCTCGTACTGTATCCTCTGCCTATATAAGTTGGAAAGCGTCCAATGGCCTTGCGAACGTTGAAAACCAATGGTGACTCTCTGAACAAAAAAACCCAAACAAACAAACTATAAAATCACTTTTTAGCATGTGATATATTCCTTTCGCTGACGGAACATATATATCGTTTGATGACACACACTATATTCATTTTATTCTACATGTAATTATGCCGATTTTCTATAACTTTCTATTCACTGCCTTTTTCATTTTCGGTGTTGCAAATTGAAAACGCGTACTTGCGTAGAAAGCATGCCCAACTCGGGTCAATATTCAACGTTACAGGGGCCCCACTTGTTTGCCCGTTTTCTACAGCTGTTCTACAGCTGTTCTATCTTGGAAATCTTTCCATGAGAAAGTGGGCGGGCCTATAAAAAAGCACCAATCAGATTCTTTGTTGGATTTCGCAATTGTATTTCAGTCAGATTCATCAGTGTCGTCACTCAACGCATCGGTATTTCAGCCCAAGTGTATACTTTCTAGCAAGATTTGCGATAAACAAACTATATATAAGTACATAGTAATGGTGACCAAGAGTGCCTCTTCCAATATTGTGAATTTCGTAGCCCAACGGTTAGGGATTCTAGTGCTAGAGCGGGCGTTATAGATTACATAGTGAAAATGAATTATTATTCTTTGAAAATCTCTCTGCTTCTAGATATTAGATAAACTAACTAAGTACATAGTTATGTTGAATAAGGCTACCTCTTTCAAAATTGTTAATTTCTTGGCTCCAGTGTCGGAAGTTCTGCTGTTAGGGTGGGGCTCTATGTATTGATTATATAGTGAAAATGCATAATTCTTTGGAATTCTTCTTCTCTGTTCCTGGGCATGAAATAAACTAACAAAATGCATAGTTATGTTGAATAAGATTGCTTCTTCCAAAATTGTTAATTTCATGGCCCGAGGGTCAGGGGTCCTAGTTCTGGGGCGGGCTATATAGATTATATAGTGAAAATGAATTATTTCTTCGAAAATCTTCTCTGCTCCTGGGTATTAATTAAAATAACCAAGTACATAGTTTTGTTGAATAAGGCTGCCTATTCCAAAATTGGGAATTTAATAGCCTCGGGGTCAGGGATTCTGGTGTTAAGGTGGGGCTCTATTGATTATATAGTGAAAATGCATAAATTCTTTAAAAATCTTATTTTCTGCTCCTGGGTATTAAGCAAATGAACTACATTGTATGTACAAGGCATGAAGAGGAAGGATGCCTCTTTGAGCTTTGTGAATTTCACGGCCCCTGGGTCAGGGGTTCTTGCGTTAGGGCGGGGCTCTAATATTTATGTAGTGAAAATCCATGAATTCTTTGAAAATTTTTCCCTTTGCCCCTGGATATAATGCAAATGATCTAAGTATATTTTTATGATGAAGAAAGCTGCCTCTTCCAAAGTGGTTAATTTCAGGGCCCTTGGGTCAGGGGTACTTGGAGGGGGGTACATAGACTAAAAATAAATTAATGCTTTGAAATTTGCTCTTTGGTATTAATCAACCATTCCTGATGAAATAAAACTTATAATAAAATTTTGAAATATGTGGCCCCAAGTCAGTGGTTTCTGTGGGATGTGTACACAACTGGATATAATGTGGAAATGCATTTTCTCTTTTTAGCTCACCTGAGCCAGTGAGATTTTCATTTCAAAATTTGTCTGTAGTCTTCCTTGTTGTTGTCGTAAACTTTTTACATTTTCTTCTTCTCAAGAACCATTGGGCCAATTTCAACCAAACTTGCCACAAAATATCCTTGGGTAAAGGAAATTCAAGTTTATTCAAATGAAGGGCCACGCCCTCTTCCAAGGGGAAATAATTATGAATTAGTAAAAAATCGATGGCATCTTTTAAAAATCTTCTTCTCAAGAGCCAGTGGACCAGGAAGAAAGTAGTGTAGAAAAATTCCCCCTTTTCGGATGTTATTGCACCTATCAATCGTGTTTCTCACTTTTAATTTGTAACCGATCGATCATTTAAACCAATAAAAAAAATGACGATCTTCTTCCAAACCTTGTCAAAAGACTGATTATACCCGCACTTTCGAAAGAAAGTTCGGGTATATTGTTGTTACTTATATCCGTCCGTCCGTCTGTCACACTTTTCTTCCTTGAACGCCTCCTACATTTTACACAGTAGCCTAATCATCTTTTGGAAGATGGTTGATGGCGTCATGTAGATGTGCAGTAAGGTTTCGGAATTTTGATTTTGCCCCGGGGGGTCAAATGGGGGTTAAAAAATGAAGTTTTTTATGCATAAAGCCCCGTCTTCCCTGACCTCCTCCTACATTTTACATAGTAGCCTAATCATCTTTTGGAAGATGGTTGATGGTGTCATGTAGATGTGCAGTAAGGTTTCGGAATTTTGATTTTGCCCCGGGGGGTCAAATGGGGGTTAAAAAATGACGTTTTTATGCATAAAGCCCCGTCTTCCCTGACCTCCTCCTACATTTTACAAAGTAGCCTAATCATCTTTTGGAAGATGGTTGATGGTGTCATGTAGATGTGCAGTAAGGTTTCGGAATTTTGATTTTGCCCCGGGGGGTCAAATGGGGGTTGAAAAATGAAGTTTTTTATGCATAAAGCCCCGTCTTCCCTGAACTCCTCCTACATTTACATAGTAGCCTAATCATCTTTTGGGAGATGTTTGGTGGTGTCATGTAGATGTGCAATAAGGTTTTGGAATTTTGATTTTGCCCCGGGGGGTCAAATGGGGGTTAAAAAATGACGTTTTTTATGCATAAACCCCCGTCATCCCTAAACTCTTCCTACATTTTACATAGTAGCCTAATCATCTTTTGGGAGATGGTTGGTGGTGTCATGTAGATTTGCAGTAAGGTTTCGGAATTTTGATTTTGCCCCGGGGGGTCAAATGGGAATGGGGGTCGATAAATGACGGTTTTTATGCAAAAAGTCTGTCTTCCCTGAACTCCTCCTACATTTTACACAGTATCCTAATCATCTTTTTGGAGAGTTAAATATTTTGAAAATTAGGTAAAACATCAAGGTCAAGGGGTAAAAAATCATTGCATGCTGGGAAACATCTTGAATTCTTATGAGTAATTAATGTACATGTCAAATGTGAAAGTCATATCTCTTCTCAATCAAAAGTTATAAGCAAATGCTACATTTTTGAAAAGTAGGTTAAGCTTCAAGGTCAAGGTCACAGAGTCAAAAGTCGTGATTTATTTGGAAAGGTCTTATCACAGGTAATAATATACATGCACGTATAATATGAATGCCCTAACTTTTCTCTTTCAAAATGATGAATTTAAAACATGTTATTTTTTTACAAGTAGGTCAAACTTCAAGGTCACGGGTAAAAAAAATCATGCCATTGTCACAGGTAAATACAAATGCATATGTTTAATATGATTGCCTTGTCTCTTCTCATTCAATAGATATGACCGTGATGACCAAGGTTAAATTTATTGAGACAGATGGACAGATTGACATACAAATGTACATATTTTTATGTGAATTGGTTAAAATTGGCCCAGTGGTTCTAGAGAAGAAGTTAAAAATGTAAAAGCTTTACAGACAAACAGATGGACGACAGACGTAATGTGATAAGGAAACAAGAAAAGCTCAAATGAGTATTTTCAAAGGGTTACCATGGTTACAGTATTTGAAAAGCTTGTTATGCCCCGCCATGAATATGGCCAGGGAATATAGTGTTTGTCATGTCCGTCTTCAGTCCTTCCGTCCTTCTGTCCTTCCGTCAGACTTTGCGTTTAGCCCTGTTCAAAGCTATGTTTCAAAGAAACTATTTAAGATATTTTCATCAAACTTTATATGTTGATAGATATTGATGTGAGCTTTGCAACTGCATCAACATTTATTGACCTTGACCTTTCCTTTGACCTTGACCTTGACCTCACTTTTCTTAAATTAGTGTTTAGCTCAGTTTTAAACATACCATTCAAGATGGTGTTTTCAAACTTCATATGTTGATACATACTGATGAGGCCTATTCAACTGCATCAACATTTTTGACCTTGACCTTTCCTTTGACCTTGACCTCACTTATCTTTAATTAGTGTTTCGCTCAGTTTTAAAGATACCATTCAAGATATCTTTATTAAACTTAATATGCTGTTACATATTGATGAGAGCAATTCAACTTCATCAACATTTTTGACCTTGACCTTTCCTTTGACCTTGACATCACTTTTTTAAATCAGTGTCAAACTTCATATGCTGTTACATAATGATGTATGCAATTCAACTGCATCAACAATTTTGACCTTGACCTCACTTTTATCAAATTGTGTTAAAGTCAGTTAATTAAAGACATCATTTCTAGATATTTATATTAAACTTCATATGTTGATACATAATGATGAGAGATATGCAACTGCTTCAACATTTTTGACCTTGACCTTTGCTTTGACCTTGACTTTTCCTAAATCAGTGTCAAACTTCATATGCTGATACATTCTGATGTAAGCAATTTAACTGCATCAACAATTTTGACCTTGACCTTTAATTGTACCTTGACCTCACTTTTATCAAATTGTGTTTAAGTCAGTTAATTAAAGATATCATTTCTAGATATCTATATTAAACTTCATATGATATTGATGAGAGATATGCAACTGCGTCAACATTTTTTACTTTGACCTTTGCTTTGACACTTTTCCTAAATCAGTGTCAAACTTCATATGCTGATACGTTCTGATGTAAGCAATTCAACTGCATCAACAATTTTGACCTTGACCTTTTATTTGACGTTGACCTCATTTTTATCAAATTATGTTTAAGTCAGTTAATTAAAGACATCATTTCTAGATATTTTTATCAAACTTAATATGTTGATACATATTGATGAGAGATATGCAGCTGCATCAACATTTTTGACCTTGACCTTTGCTTTGATCTTGACCTCACTTTTTCTAAATCAGTGTCAAATGTCATAAGCTGATAGATATTAAGGTACTAGTAAGCACTTTTTACCTTGACCTTTCATTTGACCTTGACCTCACTTTTATCCATTTGTGTTTATGTCAGTTTTGAAAAAACCATTTATAATATTTTTCCAACCTCATATGGTGAAACATACTAATGAGAGCTTTTCAACTGCATCAACAGTTTTTGACCTTGGCATTTCCTTTGACCTTGACCTCACTTTAATGAAATTAGTTTCAAACTTCATATGCTTATACATACTTATGTAAGCAATTCAACTACATCACTATTCAAGATATTCTGATCAAATTTTCATGTTGCTTTACTAATATACCCTCGGCGGGGCATTCATGTGCTAAGGACATACTTGAAGTTTTTTCCTGCAATTTTTTTGAGAAGCTGAAAATGTATGACATGTATCCATTGTTTAAAAAATTGAACATTTCAGAAAACAGTATGATTGAAAATAGTTAACCAAGATGTTTTGAGTAGCAAAATAAAGCTAGTAAACTTATAGCTAATTCATCCACAGAACTTAGTCAATTTTAAGATGCACAACCTTTTCAACTTTTATATTAATTAGTTTAAAAATATGTACCGGTATATCATCATTTCTGATTCCAGGGAGAACAAGAGATATGATTAACATGTTCATGTTTTATGGTTTTTTTTTAGTAATTTGTTTGTTTATTGTGAAAACATCTCTCTCGGGAATTTTTTCCTCATATGGAGACACCACCACTTAAAAATAATGAAGACAAGATGTGTTTGTGAAACACTGCTGCCCCCGTATGGCAGCCTATGGTGAAGGTTGAAGTTTCTAAAATGTATGTCAAACTCAAAGGTCAAAGTCAAAGGGTTAAAATTGTTAATATCAAAAGAAAGTTTTGTCACAAGGAATAAACATGTGAAATAAGAAATCCCTAGTACCTCCTGTTCACAAATTAATTAAGGTTAAAATTTTTTTAAAGTGGGTCAAACTCAATGGTCTAGGTCAAACATATTTATACCTGTTGAAAGTTCACAATGAATACACATGTTACGCATGAAAGCCCTAGCACCTACTGATAAAAATTTAGGCCAAGTTTAAAGTTTGGTATTTTTCTTGAAAAATGAGTAAAAATCCAAGGTCAAGGTCAAGAGATCAAGAGGTCAAAATTGGTGGTACCCAAATAAAAGGTCTTGTCACAAGGAATTAACCTATGAAATGTGGAAGCCATTTGTATAGCCCATCCCACTTAAAACTTATGGGCAAGGTTAAAGTTTCTGCTGACAAACAAACAGACATAATATAAACACTAGAAGCAAAATATGTATATAGTCAAATGGAAAAAAATCTACTATTTTGGAGTCACAAGATCTATTGTAATTTCAGGGGCAGGGAGTGGCTAGGGAGATTGGATCCCACCTTGGAATTTGCTTTGTTATTTGAATAAGACTGTATACTGAAGCAAAAAAAAAAAATGATTTTGGACATCCTCCCGCTTAGAAAACATTTACCCCACGACCCCACTATCATTGTTTTTATTTTTAAGCGCTAAGCGCAGCGCAAAGCGCTTTCTGTCAGCGTAAATCTACTTCCGTTCGCGATCCAGCGCCACTAAGCAAGTTAGATAACTCCACTTGTTTATCTAAAAATATGCAACTGGAAATCCCCGACTCTCTTTCTGCTACTTTAGTGTAATGCTGCGTTACGCGCATTTCTAATATTAGGAGGCAATTAGTAAGGTAAAGGAATATTTCACTGTTAGAAGATAAGAGCAGTTCTTATCATGCTCTTCTCTATACATTGTAGTTCTTTTAAGTCGTGTCGGCACACTTTACTTTTGTACCATGTAGCTAACAATTGCTGCACCAAGGCGCAAATACTTAATTAAAAACAGTATATTATTTATCATGCACATGTAATATAGTGATTGAATAAGTACATAATTTAAAACTCAGATGGATTTTAATTCTCAAACTGGAAGTGGCGGATTTAAGGGGGGGCGCACCCGGCCCCCCCCCCCCTAAAATTGTCAAAGTTAACGTAAATCCGAGTTTTGTCTAGAAAATGTAAATATATCTACTTGGTAGACCTCATTTTTACCCTACAAAATCTCTAAAACTCAGGAGCTTCCGGGGGCTTCGCCCCCCTGGGCCCCCACCAGGGCTTTGCCCTGACCCACTGGGGGCCTCAAGGCGGCCCCCAGACCCCTTGCCTACTTTTGGCGCCCCCTCTAACTTCAATTTCTGGATCCGCGCCTGCACATGGTCACAGGGGCTGAAAATTTCATTCTCAATTCGACGAATACATGTTCAGTGTAAAATTTAGAATTATTTTGACTTTTCCCTTGGAAAGGCTAATATGTAGGAGTGTGTATTTAGAGGCAAACACCTTAGTGCGGATATTACTGTCTCATGACAGCATCTAGTTTACCTGGTAATTACGGAGGCATATTAGTGTCAATTTTCAATAAAGAAAATAAAAGGATAGATAAGAATTCTTTAATTTTTTTTTTTACGGAATTAATATGCATGGGGCGCCGTTTTAATATTTTTAAGTTTTTTTTTTCTAATATCAAAAAATCATTTTGTGATATCAGAAATTCGATTTTTTTACATCAAAAAAATAATTGTCTTATATCAGAAATTATATTTGTAATCACACATTTTATACATATTTTTTTCACAGATAGAAATAATGAACGTCGCATTGTGCTTCTTGGAAAAACAGGCAATGGCAAAAGCGCAACAGGAAATTCTATTCTTGGCGACGATATCTTTCTATCGGCTTTGAGAAATATATCAGTTACAAAGAAGTGCAGTCGTGTTGCTCGAAAAAGATTTGGAATATTTTTGGAAATCATCGATACTCCAGGTCTTTATGATACGGAAATGTCGAACGAAGAAACCATCAAAGAAATTGTGAAATGCATCGGTTTGTCAGCTCCCGGTCCACATGCTTTTTTGCTCGTTTTAAAAGCCACGTCACGATTTACAGAGGAAGAGGAGAATGCTTTGAAGAAATTTGTTAACCACTTTGGGGACGCCATTTACCAGTATTTCATTATTGTCTTTACGGGCAAAGACCAAATGGATGAGGAAAATATCACAACATCAAGTTTCCTAGAACAAGTTCCCAGAAATTTGAAGGAGTTGCTTTCGAGATGTAGTAATAGATACTTTTTCTTAAATAATAAAGATAGTGATGGAAACAAAACAAAGCAGGTTTTGGAATTGCTTAATGTTATTCACAATAACTTGGGTAACAACAATTGGTCATTTTACTCCAATGAAGATTATGAAAAGGCTACTGAAGCTCTGAATAAAAGAGTTGAAGAGATACGAAAAAAAATGGAGGAAGAGCATCAAAGAGAAAAAGAACGTATTGAAAAGAAGGTGAGAGAAGAAATCAAAAAGCAGATGGAGGATCAAAATGCAAGTGATAAGGAGAAAGAAGCGCAAATCAAAAAGATACATGAAAAATACGATGCTTTACTAAAAAAACACGCTGAAGACAAAGAAAGTAGCGAAAGTAGCCAACCTGTTGAGATTGCCAAAAAAGAAATTGAAGAAGAAAATAAGGAAAATTTTCTACAGAAAGCAGTTTCGCATTTAGAAAATGCAGGCCATTCTATCGTAAGCGGTATTGGTGCAGTTGGCCAGGAACTTGCAAAACAGCCTGGAAAACTTCTTTCATTGCTTGGTTGGTGAAATTTAGGTGGATCCATGAATATAGTGGATGAAATGTTATACATGAACTCATTTTGATGAACAGTATGAAATTGTCTTCAACTTAATTATAGGACGGTTCCTTGGATTTTTTGTACCCTTATTTTTTGCTTTACTGGTCAGAAACCAGAAGAGCTTATGCGATTGTAAGGTGTCCGTCCGTCTGTCTGTCTAGTGTCTGTCTGGCTGTCCCTCTGTCTGTAAACAATTGCTACTCTGTGAAATTCCTTTAAAACGCTACTCTTCCTACAGTTTTGGTCTGATTTCAATATAACTTGGCACACACGTAGACTGCATAAGATACATAATTAAGTGCATCGGTTTTTTGATTTCGATGAACGATGTTGCCATGGTTACTAAAAATAGAAATTTCTGTGAAATTCCTTTAAAACGCTACTCCTCCTACAGATCTAGATTTGGTCTGATGGCAATGGCTTCTTTTCTCTTTCAACCGTTCACGGTAGCTCAGTCGGTAGAGCGCTCGCTCCGTGATCGGGAGGTCGTGAGTTCGTATCTCGGCCGCGACCGACCTAGTCGTTAAAATGGGTAGCAACTGTTCCTTCGCCATGCGCTCGGCACTTTGAAGTGAAAGTTGCGGGTCCTTCGGATGAGACCTTAAAAACCGAGGCCCCGTGTCAGCGGCAGGCGTTGGCACGATAAAGATCCCTCACTGCTCAATGGCCCTGAGTGCCGAGTAAAGGTCAAAATTTGAAGCCCTTCACCGGCATACGGTGACGTCTCCATATGAGTGAAAAATTCTCGAGAGGGACGTTAAACAATATACAATCAATCAATCTTTTCTCTTCCTTTGTAGTAAGTACAAACCAGTAGAGCTACAGTCTTGGCAGAGACTTCTGGTTTTATTTTCGTGAATGATGTATCAATATCATGAAATTGATGATATAAAGAAAATAATTATGAATACAGGATGAATATAAAATTGGCGCACGTGCTGTTTATTCTTTTGAAAATATCGATGCAATTGTACATTTAAACTTATTTTTTTAATTAGTATTGGTGCAGTTTAAATAATTTATAACTTGTAAATATATTAAAATTAAAAGAGTTTATTTCCTTTATTGCTTTTTAATAAAAATGTTATGTCTCTTGTCTTTACACAGAACATTCTTGTTTTGATTTTAATGCAGTGATTAACTGTTCCCAATGTTTGAGAGGAGAGCAACTTGGGAGAGGAACTCTATTCACTAGTGTAGGAGTGCTCCATGCAAATAAGAATGTTACATGAAGGCAAGTTTTATGCCTTGATAGTAGATATCTGTTTTATCAGACATGATTGCCTGTTCTCACTATTTAATTATCTGTGACTTTTTAAACCGCCATGTTTTACGGAAGAAATTACTGCTAAAGTAACCGCAATTTCCTTAGACTTCTTATGCCAACTAGGGGATTGACGCCGTTAATATAACTGATACAGTCATGTATGTTTAATAACAAAAGGACCTAGTCTTGTATTCTACTATTTTCAAGTTTACACCTTGTTCTTCTGTCAAATATAATACGTCGATTATATTGCTTCCAAATTTTCCTTATTTCAAGTACAATGTACATGCACTCTACAGAGCATAGAAATATATTTATATCCATATTTTTTCTTGTAACGAGAGAAGACAATTTGGGCTATTCGCTTGTTTTTGATTAACCTTTTATATAAATTATTAAGAAAACAATTAAGTGAAAGTATGTCATTTATTGAACTAACAAATGACTAAAACTATATTTACATTTTACATAAACTCATATAACAATTAATTGATTGGGCTTGACTTGTTAAATATACTGCCTAGTCATATGACATTATTCTTCCTAATCACATTACTAACAAGAGGCCCAGGGACCACATCATTCACCTGGGCAACTGGCGAGGTTTAATCAAAATTCAGTTCAGTATTGAAAATTTTAATTATAAAAGTGGATTCAGGAGAGGGGAAGGGGTATTTGAACAAACTTAAATCTAGACTTCCTACAGATGCTTTTAAATTAGTAGGATACATAATGGCTAACCTGTTTATAAGATGAAGTTTTTATTGATTATTAGCCTTTATATTCCTTTCTGCAACTGTATGATCCACTTTAATGGCCCCTCTATTATCCTGGTTGTTCATGATTTGAACAAATTTAAATCTACATCACCTTTTTTATTCTTTTATATTGATTATAAATCATGGCTTAATTTGTTGTTCTTGTGAAGAATTTTAACGATTTTTCTATGTACTCCTACGTCATAACCTTGATCACCAATTGTAGCCCCACTCTACCCCCGAGAGTCATGATTTGAACAACTTAAATCCACACTACCCAAGGATGCTTCCACATAAATATAAAAAATCACAGCTTTGCTGTTCTCAAGAAGAAGAACTTTCAAAGATATTTTTCTATGTACTCCTTTTTTAAACTTTTGATCACCCATTATGGCCCCACGTGCACCCTTGCCCCAGGGGTCATTTGTGATTTAAACACACGGGTACGATGAACTTGGTAGTTGTGGAAGTACCGCGCATCGAATTATGGGAAAAAGGGTACCAGATTCCCGGAAGTTGACATCATTTCCTGGTTAAACAAGAGGGGAGAGGAGTACTAAATGGGTAGAGGTGTCACACCGGTAATCGACCAATCAAAATGAACTTATCAAATGTAGGTCCATACATATAAAATTGATTTTCCTTTCTTTTGAGACGTTTTTCTATTCTCTTCCAAGCCATTTTTACAACTTTGGTACCTGTGCCTAGTAAATTTTATGTAATTTTTGAACAAATAAAGGTTTTTGACAGGAACTATTTTTCCGGGCATGGGAAGCTACTTCCTGCGATGCACTCGGAATGTTTATAAACACATTGAAATAAATGATGGAATATATCAAGTTTATTTTTCTTGAACTAAGAAAGCTGAAAACCTAGGATCCCCCGCCCCCCTGAAATCGAAACCTGCTGCCGTAAATTGTTCTTGCCAGCGTTTGGGAAATATGGGTGATTTGCATCAATTACACTTTTATTGACTTCATCGGTGCGTAAACCGGACGAGATTTATTGGCATGGTTCATATTGATGCATGTTTATAAGGAGCTTCTATAATAACTAAAAACTTTATTTACAACAGCACTTTGCTCAACTAAATTAACTATTTGGGAATCCTATTAGAGTAAACAATGGACATGTTCATGTCGATTAAAGGCTATAAATATAACTTGAAAAATCCATTAAAATGTGAGTCTCTTATAAATAAATAGGTCGGTTAAAGGATAAAGATTTCTGAAATAAGTCTAATGAAATGTGTATCTCTTATAATGTCGACCAATATATTTTTAACAAACCAAAAAAAAAAAAAAAAAAACGGTGTGGTTACAAGGCATCGTAGTTCTTAGCAGCCGTTTACTCTAACATTAAATCCTCCGGGAAATCTTCATTTTATCGCTTCATTACTGAAGCCGCTTTATAAGGAGATTTGTCTATAGATTGCTCTTGTTTTATGTCTACGTGGAGTCAAAGATCTAACTTAAATAAGATTGCAAGGCTAAGACTGACTAATGGTAATCACTCGCCGGTTTTGGTTCCGGATTTTACACACCAAACCTATCGGTGGTTATCTCTGCGTTTGAGACGCTTGAATCTTTATGTTTACATTCTGATCGACTGCGGATTACGTTATGCCTCAGCGCTGTTCTGTGCCGTTTTGTTGTAATTATGGTGGACACCAGTTTCCAAAAAATAAACAACGTCGGTTGCAGTGGAGAATTGCCATAAAACGGCTTGACCCGCGAACTAAAAAACTCTGGGAGCCTAATGACAGAGACGTTGTCTGCGACCTGCATTTTGTTGCAAGCGATTACAAGGACACGTCAGGTTAGGAAACGTAAATATTGACTTAACTTTGTTAGTTTGTTTTAAATTTTGTGTTTTTATTTACGATAAGACCTTTATGCACTTTGAGATGATAAAATTAATACATAATGCTTCAAACTCTTCGGAAAGGAGGAGTGTATTCTAGTGTATACATAAGTACTCAGTACGGTTCATTGCACAATGGTCATTTTGTTTGTCAAAATAAAGTTTTCTTAATATTTGAATTTATGACTGATCAACCACTGCCAATAAATTTCAATTTTCTTCTGTTGATTAACATTAAGAATTTGAATATTGATAGTGGTTCTTCATATTGTTTTACTTAGTTAAGTTTACCTAGTTCCTGTTGCTTTGTGTTATTTTTATTTATTTCAGCGCAGCAGATATAGACCAACAAAAGATTCCAGAAAGATAAGTTCAATCACTTTTTTTATTATTATTTGATAAACAGATAAATGTGCAGTCTTACATGTAGTCTTACTTAAAACTTATCTTTAAAATCATGTGTGTTTATTGTTATTTTTTTATATATATATATATATATATATATATAAAATATACATGTATATTGATCAAAAAGTGTCATAAATCAACATTTTTTCAACAGCTGATCACCTCCATCTAAAAGATGATGCAGTGCCATCTATTCTTATTCCTGATCATGACCCTCCAACTCCAAGCTCAAGGCAACAAAGAATGTCTCGGAGGAAGCAAGAACTTGATGAGCCAGTCCTTCAAGCTATCGGTGTACAGCAGGAAGTTGTCATAGAGCAGAGAGAAAACGAGGAAGCACCATCACCACAAGCAACGCCAGAGGAAGCTTCTTTAGTTAAGAATCCTTTTTCAAAAAAATGCTCCATTGAGAATTTTAAGGACAATCCAGATGCAATTTCATACTATACAGGTTTCAGTGATTATGACCAGTTCATGACACTGTTTTATTGTCTTGGTCCATGTGTAGATGAGCTCGATTACAAATGTTCTGTACTTGAACCTAAGGACCAGCTTTTTCTTACTTTAATGAAGTTAAGGCAGGCCAAAGAAGACTTTGAATTGTCTCTGTTTTTTCAAGTTTCCACTTCCACTGTTTTAAGAATTGTCATTACTTGGATAAATTTTTTGTATTTTCAATTGAAAGAACTAAATTTCTGGCCTTCTGAAGATATTGTTCAAGATTTTATGCCCACCAATTTTGATGAAAAATTTCCCAGTACGAGAGTAATATTAGATGCTACAGAAATCCCCATACAAAAACCATCTGATGTAAATTCTCAGTCTATTACCTGGTCTAATTACAAACACAGAAACACAATCAAAGCAATGATTGGTGTTACACCAAGGGGTGCAGTATCTTATGTTTCAGATGCGTATGGAGGATCTGCAAGTGATAGAATGATCATTGAAAGATCTGAGTTGTTAAACAAGGGTATGTTTAAAAAAGGTGACAGCATTATGGCTGATAGGGGGATTATGGTTCAAGATCTTTTTGCAAATAATGACGTTCAAGTAAACACCCCAACGTTTCTAAAAGGAAAGTCTCAGCTTGATGCCCACGAGGTCGTTCATGATCGGCGTGTGGCATCCAAGCGCATACATGTAGAGAGGGTGATAGGTCTTGCCAAAAGGTACAAAATTCTAAAAGGTGAACTCTGTCACAGCAAGCTGCAGCTTGGTTCACGTATTATATTTATATGCTTTGTTTTAAGCAACTTCAGAAAGTGTATTGTTGACAAATTTGCATAATTGCTTCAGGAACTCCGATCCTCAGCCAGGAAGGCTAACTCTTTAATTTAAAATTCAATTCAAAAAGTCTCAAAACTCAACTTTAAGATGAAATAGAAATTTTATTATATTTTTGAGTAAAATGCTATTAAAATATATAAGTCGTGAAACTATACAGAAGATATTAACTTTAAATCTGTGTCCATGCACCTTTAAAGATGATGTTTGAAAAATTATCGGAAGTAAAAACACATAACTTTAAAAATTCAAAGACATTTTTGTGAGCATTTTCAAATAGTGGATAAGTCAATGCCTGATTTTCAGAACCTGAGGATTGGAGTACCTTAATGGAACTTGCTGATATATGTTTGATTTGGATTGAAGAAAGACTATGAAATAAATCATGTATAACAATGTAAATTCTTTCAAAATTTTTTATGGAAACAAAATAAGGAAACCATTAATCTTCACATACATATTTATTACAGTGTATATGCATGTACATACAAATGCTGTAATGGGAACACAAAATGTCCATCTACTAAGACTTAAAACAGTCTAAAATACACAAAGGTTCCTTTTGCAAAGGCATCAGTTTACAGAAAATAAATGTTGTTTTCAATGGGGATTTGCCATAAAGTGACTAGACCCACAAAATAAATAAACTCGTTTTAAACATTTTAATGAAATACTGGGTATTTCCATTTCTGTATTTTTTCTTTGTGATATCTCTTTGAAGTTTAGTGGAGTTAATTTCTTTATATTTCCATTTCTATTTGTTTTCTCTTTGATAACTTGTTGAAGGTTAGTGGAGTTGATTTCTTGATAATTCTACCAGAATGTAAATTTGGCAAATCAATAGGTCAAGAGCTAAGGAGGCCTAAATATGCATGTAAATCTTGTGCGATTGTCTTTGTGTTTGATGTCAGTGGGTGGGTACATTTGAAATTGACATGGAAGTAATTTAAATCTAATAGTCTACATTTTAAAATCTACATTTTATAAATTTATATGTACAATTTTATTTCACAATGACACTATATGCTAACTAGACAGTGATTCCTTAAATAATTTTACAGCAATTAATGTTTACAAAGAGTTGATCAATGAATGTCAGCACAATATATTTTCCTGGCAGCAATATAATAAATATGGTAGGCTTATAAAATGCATTCAATATTTTGCACTGCAAGAATTACCAGAGTATTTTGCATACAACTTTGAAGCAACAAATGGTCGGAACCACTTTCTATAAAACAGATCTAGTTTAGGAACTAAACAAAATTTACAATACTCCTGGTCAAATTCAATTTTTTCTACAAACAGTGATTTAAAAGTATAAACTACAAAATAACAAAATTGCCTTCCAGTGATAAGTAATTGACCTTGAATTTGATCATAATAATTTGATGATTTCTTAAGTTGAATGACTCCATTTTTTTGCTCTAAATACCTAAAATACTTCAGACACTTTAATTCGATATTTACATTTCGACCTAAATATGGACATTTAACTTCAACAATATGCATATCGTCAATAATTCCATCTGGGGAAGCACCAAGAAATGGTTTTTCTGTGTAAATAAAAAAGCCACATCCCTTAACTTTAACTTTGTATTCAGATTCAAAACATTTTATAGCTTTCCTTTCATAATTTTTACCGTGCAATGTTGCTAAAGAGTTAATCTGCTTTGATGAGAATATTGATTCACATAATTTGTCCTTGTTTCGCCTGTCCGTCATATGGGATATTTGTCCAAAGTTAGATGCAGTTAGTCTCCAGGTCCTCTCTCCAAACCATTTTTTGTTAGTCGATTGCCCACGTGTTGCAACTTCTATCTTCTCTCTCTCCAAATCATTCACCTGTGAATATTTTTTACATAATGCAAATAAATTTTGGTGGGTCCTTTTAATGTTTTTCAAAACACAAAGTGATTAATTTTTTTCTGTTCTTGATCTGATAAAGTTTTTTTTAATAAACAATTGACAAAGTATTGAACACTTAGTACATGTACCTTCAATGCTTCATCAACCCAATACTCAGTGAAAGGTAGTGAGAGATAATCATGATCATGAACTGCAGACTGAAAAAGAAAGATAAAATCATGATTTATAGTTCTAAGCTTTAATTTTTTTAAAACTAAAAGTAAAAAACAGATCACCAACACTTCGTGAGAATGCAGCAGTAAATTTATTTTGTTGTTATCTTCCGCAATTTTAACCTCAAGGTGTTGGTCTCCAGCTTTTCTTTGTTCTAATTTTTTTTTTTTAGATACAGTTTTGAAATAAGAAATACAAAATGTTCTCTTGCTTCAATTGCAATTAAATTAATCTTTTTAAACATTGAGGTACTGTAAGCACTGCGCTCACAAAATGATACCCCCACCTCCTATTGGTTATAGTGGAAAAGAACATGTATTGCGATTGGATACACAAATGAGTTTGGGACCAAAGGTATTTTCATTATACCCCCCGCTTGAAAAGTGGGAGGGTATATAGTAATCGGTATGTCCGTCCGTCCGTCCGTTTGTACGTCCGTCCATCTGTTACGCTTTGGGGTACCCATCTCTTATCCGCAACTCCTCTCATACCACTGAAGGAAATTTAATAAAACTTTGTCAGAATCTTTATTACATATTGCCATTGTGCATCTCCTATATTACATTTTGATCTGACATAAATTTTAGATCTTCCAGACCAAACCATGGATACTTCCACTATATTCATATGGGAGGCAGGGGGTATTATTTAGTGAGCTTATTGCTCACAGTACTTGGAGTTTTATTTCTTATACCTTCAAATCAGCTCCTTTGAATAAGTAGCGATAGGCAATATCTGCCGACGATTTTGCGGTATAATTGATGAGGATGTTCCTCACCCTGTCCTCAAAACCCTCCATATTCCTCCTCTTCTCTGGACGGGGATCATCTAATATTGACTCTGACTTGCGTTTTCGTGAAAGATGTTCTACCTTTACTGGTGATCCTGTAAGAAAAAAGTGTCAAGTTGAAATATTTAAAATGATAGGTAAAACCACAATACATTCTTCAAATTCATATTCTGTGTTATTTATGTTATAGGTACACCCAGACTAAAGCTAAATATTGTAGCAGAAAGTATACAGGGAACTTATACTGCCTTGCTAGTAAGCTAGCTTTTCTAGTGATGCGGTAAACTATCCCTCTATTTCAGGCAAGTTTAGAAATGTTGAGCCTGTTAAACCCTTGGATGGGTGACCACTTCATGTTAAATATCAAATCTTGTAATAATTATTCAAAAAGCATATTGAGGATTACCAGGGGTATAATAGCTCAAAAAATAACTATAAATCAATATATAAATGTAAACCTTTATGGGAAATCTTTGGTTTATTGAACATCATAAGGTTTTCTGTGCACGTTTTCTCAATGCCAGTCAGTTCTCCTAACCCAGTGAACTTCTCCAGCATCACCATCACTGCTGCTAGATGCTTACACGTTCCGTTTGGGCCCTTACCAGCAGGACATTCGCAGTGGGAACTTAAAATATCTCCGGATTGCTTTTCTAGTCGAAGCTTGTAGTTGTATGTCACCTGATTGATAAAAATACATACATGTTATTTGCCCAATTCATAAAAATACAAAGAATACGTGTATTACAAATTACAAAATGGACTTTCTATCTGGAATAAAATGATAAGTATAGAGATTTGAAAAAAAAAAAAAAGGCATAGATTAAATTTCTTGCTGAGTCTATGTAAATGTTCAACTGACCTTATTTTTCATGGCTGCACTGACTATTCCCGTAAAAAATATGTCGGCCTGAATGAGCACAGAACACGCCAGGATTCTCTTCGAATCGTACAACAATTCACCATTCTTGATGGCCTTAATATTTCTTGCCGAGTCATTATCACCTACAAAAATAAATACTTATTAATTTCATTACTAAAGTTCATTGCATTAAAAACAAGAAGTCTGTGAAGAAATCATTAATGCTCACTAGTGATATCCCTGCTCTAATGTTGATTTACCATCTCTTCTGTGTTCACTGTTTGAAATAACTTTAAATATTTCCAAACAAAGAGTAGCAAGAAAATTGGTAGAATTCATCAGCATATACATGTAGGTATGAGATCAAATTTATAGGGAGCTGGGCCCATTCACATTATTGTTTAAATGAACTCAGAAAAGGCTCATTTTTGGGGGGCTAGTACATTTTTGACAGGTCTGACAACTTTCACTAGCAATCAGCCCTGCATGTCTACTGTCTGCGTAATTTTTCAGGGAGTTTCAAACATTGCCCTTCTTGTATTTCGAGTACATACAAAAATAAATCCAGTGCCACTATATGGCATGCCTAGCAAAGAGTACTAAAATTTCAATCATCAATTCTACAATTTAATAAAGTAGTAAGTTGCGCTGAGAAAAAATTGTTAAGGACAGACACAACTGACACTCAGACAGACACACAAGGATTATATCACAGTATAAGTATTACCCCTCTCTCCTTAGGAGTGGGGGTACATGTAAAATGAAAGATGATAGATAAAAAACATATTTTTTTCAACATAGGATTATACTACTCTGAATTTAGTACATGTATATTATATATTCAAAGTTATGAAACCTGCAAGGCGGTGAAGAAAGTAGGCTTCTGTTTGGTCCCTTGTTACACTAGGTAAAAGTCCTTGGTGATCTGGCTTCAATTGTTGAAATCCAGTGGATGGCCAGTTCACATCTAGAGGTTCTGGCAGAAGAACAGGCGGTGGTAAAAAGTTCTTGTTCCTATCATAGGACTCAAGCCTGGATATAAATTATTGTTGGAATTTAGAATTAATCATTACCCAGATATTTGGATGAAAATGGCATAATTCAGATTATTATTTCATAAGCAGATAAGTTAGAACAAACATAAAATACTGTATATATATGTCTATAAAAATAGGGAAAAAGTTTCAATATATTGCATTATTACACATGAAGTAGGTTCACCGGCCTACGGCAAGCTCACTTATGGTATAATAAGGGAGACATTTTTTTTCTAAATTATTGAAAAATAGCCCTAGAGCATAAAATTGACCTCAATTTTCATTCTTTTTTTTTTTACTTTCAGTTTATAAAGTAAAACTCTCTTAATTTCTAAGTTGTAGTATAATCTGATTCATTGCTCTTTAATTTGAAACATTTATAATTTCACTATATAGGCCTAATATGGTGATAAATTGTATTTTTCAACCTTCAACATGGGAAGCAGGGTTGCAAATAACCACTCGCCCACTCGCAAATGCTAGTAAATTTTCCTGTGGGCGACCAGCTCTTGAGAATATTATCGCCCACATGGCAAGTAAGAATTTTATCGGACCTTTTTCAGAATCAAATCGTAGTTTGGTTCAACTATCCAATGTACTTTCGTTTTCATATCCCAGGCGGATTTTTCAAATATTAATTGTAGCTTTATTTGAGATACAAAATATGTCAATCTAGTCAACATTTACCTTAAATTTAAAGAGTAATCATTATTGTAACAAGAATCCCCCCATTCTTTTTCTGCCGCCATGAAGGCAGCCATGTTGGGTGTCCACTGTAAATATAACACCTGGTTAATTCAGTCCAGGTATGTTTGGCTCCTTTATTTATGAAAAAAACGGCATACCGACCCTTGATAATTTGGGAATGTTACAAGAATCAAATATTTTTAAAGCCTAATTCAAAATACATGCCCTGAAACAACTTAAATCAAAAGAAACAAAATTGAATGGTAATCACTCGCCGGTTTTGGTTCCGGATTTTACACACCAAACCTATCGGTGGTTATCTCTGCGTTTGAGACGCTTGAATCTTTATGTTTACATGCTGATCGACTGCGGATTACGTTATGCCTCAGCGCTGTTCTGTGCCGTTTTGTTGTAATTATGGTGGACACCAGTTTCCAAAAAATAAACAACGTCGGTTGCAGTGGAGAATTGCCATAAAACGGCTTGACCCGCGAACTAAAAAACTCTGGGAGCCTAATGACAGAGACGTTGTCTGCGACCTGCATTTTGTTGCAAGCGATTACAAGGACACGTCAGGTTAGGAAACGTAAATATTGACTTAACTTTGTTAGTTTGTTTTAAATTTTGTGTTTTTATTTACGATAAGACCTTTATGCACTTTGAGGTGATAAAATTAATACATAATGCTTCAAACTCTGCGGAAAGGAGGGGTGTATTCTAGTGTATACATAAGTACTCAGTACGGTTTATTGCACAATGGTCATTTTGTTTGTCAAAATAAAGTTTTCTTAATATTTGAATTTATAACTGATCAACCACTGCCAATAAATTTCAATTTTCTTCTGTTGATTAACATTAAGAATTTGAATATTGATAGTGGTTCTTCATATTGTTTTACTTAGTTAAGTTTACCTAGTTCCTGTTGCTTTGTGTTATTTTTATTTATTTCAGCGCAGCAGATATAGACCAACAAAAGATTCCAAAAAGATAAGTTCAATCACTTTTTTTATTATTATCATTTGATAAACAGATAAATGTGCAGTCTTACATGTAGTCTTACTTAAAACTTATCTTTAAAATCATGTGTGTTTATTGTTATTTAGCCTATTGAAAAGTTCTAAACTATGATAACTATCCAACTAATAAATCATCACGTGCAATTTTTCATTATTATGATGTGTTTCATATATATATATATATATTAAATATACATGTATATTGATCAAAAAGTGTCATAAATAAACATTTTTTCAACAGCTGATCACCTCCATCTAAAAGATGATGCAGTGCCATCTATTCTTATTCCTGATCATGACCCTCCTACTCCAAGCCCAAGGCAACAAAGACTGTCTCGGAGGAAGCAAGAACTTGATGAGCCAGACCTTCAAGCTATCGGTGTACAGCAGGAAGTTGTCATAGAGCAGAGAGAAAACGAGGAAGCACCATCACCACAAGCAACGCCAGAGGAAGCTTCTTTAGTTAAGAATCCTTTTTCAAAAAAATGCTCCATTGAGAATTTTAAGGACAATCCAGATGCAATTTCATACTATACAGGTTTCAGTGATTATGACCAGTTCATGACACTGTTTTATTGTCTTGGTCCATGTGTAGATGAGCTCGATTACAAATGTTCTGTACTTGAACCTAAGGACCAGCTTTTTCTTACTTTAATGAAGTTAAGGCAGGCCAAAGAAGACTTTGAATTGTCTCTGTTTTTTCAAGTTTCCACTTCCACTGTTTCAAGAATTGTCATTACTTGGATTAATTTTTTGTATTTTCAATTGAAAGAACTAAATTTCTGGCCTTCTGAAGATATTGTTCAAGATTTTATGCCCACCAATTTTGATGAAAAATTTCCCAGTACGAGAGTAATATTAGATGCTACAGAAATCCCCATACAAAAACCATCTGATGTAAATTCTCAGTCTATTACCTGGTCTAATTACAAACACAGAAACACAATCAAAGCAATGATTGGTGTTACACCAAGGGGTGCAGTATCTTATGTTTCAGATGCGTATGGAGGATCTGCAAGTGATAGAATGATCATTGAAAGATCTGAGTTGTTAAACAAGGGTATGTTTAAAAAAGGTGACAGCATTATGGCTGATAGGGGGATTATGGTTCAAGATCTTTTTGCAAATAATGACGTTCAAGTAAACACCCCAACGTTTCTAAAAGGAAAGTCTCAGCTTGATGCCCACGAGGTCGTTCATGATCGGCGTGTGGCATCCAAGCGCATACATGTAGAGAGGGTGATAGGTCTTGCCAAAAGGTACAAAATTCTAAAAGGTGAACTCTGTCACAGCAAGCTGCAGCTTGGTTCACGTATTATATTTATATGCTTTGTTTTAAGCAACTTCAGAAAGTGTATTGTTGACAAATTTGCATAATTGCTTCAGGAACTCCGATCCTCAGCCAGGAAGGCTAACTCTTTAATTTAAAATTCAATTCAAAAAGTCTCAAAACTCAACTTTAAGATGAAATAGAAATTTTATTATATTTTTGAGTAAAATGCTATTAAAATATATAAGTCGTGAAACTATACAGAAGATATTAACTTTAAATCTGTGTCCATGCACCTTTAAAGATGATGTTTGAAAAATTATCGGAAGTAAAAACACATAACTTTAAAAATTCAAAGACATTTTTGTGAGCATTTTCTAATAGTGGATAAGTCAATGCCTGATTTTCAGAACCTGAGGATTGGAGTACCTTAATGGAACTTGCTGATATATGTTTGATTTGGATTGAAGAAAGACTATGAAATAAATCATGTATAACAATGTAAATTCTTTCAAAATTTTTTATGGAAACAAAATAAGGAAACCATTAATCTTCACATACATATTTATTACAGTGTATATGCATGTACATACAAATGCTGTAATGGGAACACAAAATGTCCATCTACTAAGACTTAAAACAGTCTAAAATACACAAAGGTTCCTTTTGCAAAGGCATCAGTTTACAGAAAATAAATGTTGTTTTCAATGGGGATTTGCCATAAAGTGACTAGACCCACAAAATAAATAAACTCGTTTTAAACATTTTAATGAAATACTGGGTATTTCCATTTCTGTATTTTTTCTTTGTGATATCTCTTTGAAGTTTAGTGGAGTTAATTTCTTTATATTTCCATTTCTATTTGTTTTCTCTTTGATAACTTGTTGAAGGTTAGTGGAGTTGATTTCTTGATAATTCTACCAGAATGTAAATTTGGCAAATCAATAGTTCAAGAGCTAAGGAGGCCTAAATATGCATGTAAATCTTGTGAGATTGTCTTTGTGTTTGATGTCAGTGGGTGGGTACATTTGAAATTGACATGGAAGTAATTTAAATCTAATAGTCTACATTTTAAAATCTACATTTTATAAATTTATATGTACAATTTTATTTCACAATGACACTATATGCTAACTAGACAGTGATTCCTTAAATAATTTTACAGCAATTAATGTTTACAAAGAGTTGATCAATGAATGTCAGCACAATATATTTTCCTGGCAGCAATATAATAAATATGGTAGGCTTATAAAATGCATTCAATATTTTGCACTGCAAGAATTACCAGAGTATTTTGCATACAACTTTGAAGCAACAAATGGTCGGAACCACTTTCTATAAAACAGATCTAGTTTAGGAACTAAACAAAATTTACAATACTCCTGGTCAAATTCAATTTTTTCTACAAACAGTGATTTAAAAGTATAAACTACAAAATAACAAAATTGCCTTCCAGTGATAAGTAATTGACCTTGAATTTGATCATAATAATTTGATGATTTCTTAAGTTGAATGACTCCATTTTTTTGCTCTAAATACCTAAAATACTTCAGACACTTTAATTCGATATTTACATTTCGACCTAAATATGGACATTTAACTTCAACAATATGCATATCGTCAATAATTCCATCTGGGGAAGCACCAAGAAATGGTTTTTCTGTGTAAATAAAAAAGCCACATCCCTTAACTTTAACTTTGTATTCAGATTCAAAACATTTTATAGCTTTCCTTTCATAATTTTTACCGTGCAATGTTGCTAAAGAGTTAATCTGCTTTGATGAGAATATTGATTCACATAATTTGTCCTTGTTTCGCCTGTCCGTCATATGGGATATTTGTCCAAAGTTAGATGCAGTTAGTCTCCAGGTCCTCTCTCCAAACCATTTTTTGTTAGTCGATTGCCCACGTGTTGCAACTTCTATCTTCTCTCTCTCCAAATCATTCACCTGTGAATATTTTTTTCATTATGCAAATAAATTTTGGTGGGTCCTTTTAATGTTTTTCAAAACACAAAGTGATTATTTTTTTTCTGTTCTTGATCTGATAAAGTTTTTTTTTTAATAAACAATTGACAAAGTATTGAACACTTAGTACATGTACCTTCAATGCTTCATCAACCCAATACTCAGTGAAAGGTAGTGAGAGATAATCATGATCATGAACTGCAGACTGAAAAAGAAAGATAAAATCATGATTTATAGTTCTAAGCTTTAATTTTTTTAAAACTAAAAGTAAAAAACAGATCACCAACACTTCGTGAGAATGCAGCAGTAAATTTATTTTGTTGTTATCTTCCGCAATTTTAACCTCAAGGTGTTGGTCTCCAGCTTTTCTTTGTTCTAATTTTTTTTTTTTAGATACAGTTTTGAAATAAGAAATACAAAATGTTCTCTTGCTTCAATTGCAATTAAATTAATCTTTTTAAACATTGAGGTACTGTAAGCACTGCGCTCACAAAATGATACCCCCACCTCCTATTGGTTATAGTGGAAAAGAACATGTATTGCGATTGGATACACAAATGAGTTTGGGACCAAAGGTATTTTCATTATACCCCCCGCTTGAAAAGTGGGAGGGTATATAGTAATCGGTATGTTCGTTTGTCTGTACGTCCGTCCATCTGTTACGCTTTAAGGGTACCCATCTCTTATGCGCAACTCCTCTCATACCACTGAAGGAAATTTAATAAAACTTTGTCAGAATCTTTATTACATATTGCCATTGTGCATCTCCTATATTACATTTTGATCTGACATAAATTTTAGATCTTCCAGACCAAACCATGGATACTTCCACTATATTCATATGGGAGGCAGGGGGTATTATTTAGTGAGCTTATTGCTCACAGTACTTGGAGTTTTATTTCTTATACCTTCAAATCAGCTCCTTTGAATAAGTAGCGATAGGCAATATCTGCCGACGATTTTGCGGTATAATTGATGAGGATGTTCCTCACCCTGTCCTCAAAACCCTCCATATTCCTCCTCTTCTCTGGACGGGGATCATCTAATATTGACTCTGACTTGCGTTTTCGTGAAAGATGTTCTACCTTTACTGGTGATCCTGTAAGAAAAAAGTGTCAAGTTGAAATATTTAAAATGATAGGTAAAACCACAATACATTCTTCAAATTCATATTCTGTGTTATTTATGTTATAGGTACACCCAGACTAAAGCTAAATATTGTAGCAGAAAGTATACAGGGAACTTATACTGCCTTGCTAGTAAGCTAGCTTTTCTAGTGATGCGGTAAACTATCCCTCTATTTCAGGCAAGTTTAGAAATGTTGAGCCTGTTAAACCCTTGGATGGGTGACCACTTCATGTTAAATATCAAATCTTGTAATAATTATTCAAAAAGCATATTGAGGATTACCAGGGGTATAATAGCTCAAAAAATAACTATAAATCAATATATAAATGTAAACCTTTATGGGAAATCTTTGGTTTATTGAACATCATAAGGTTTTCTGTGCACGTTTTCTCAATGCCAGTCAGTTCTCCTAACCCAGTGAACTTCTCCAGCATCACCATCACTGCTGCTAGATGCTTACACGTTCCGTTTGGGCCCTTACCAGCAGGACATTCGCAGTGGGAACTTAAAATATCTCCGGATTGCTTTTCTAGTCGAAGCTTGTAGTTGTATGTCACCTGATTGATAAAAATACATACATGTTATTTGCCCAATTCATAAAAATACAAAGAATACGTGTATTACAAATTACAAAATGGACTTTCTATCTGGAATAAAATGATAAGTATAGAGATTTGAAAAAAAAAAAAAGGCATAGATTAAATTTCTTGCTGAGTCTATGTAAATGTTCAACTGACCTTATTTTTCATGGCTGCACTGACTATTCCCGTAAAAAATATGTCGGCCTGAATGAGCACAGAACACGCCAGGATTCTCTTCGAATCGTACAACAATTCACCATTCTTGATGGCCTTAATATTTCTTGCCGAGTCATTATCACCTACAAAAATAAATACTTATTAATTTCATTACTAAAGTTCATTGCATTAAAAACAAGAAGTCTGTGAAGAAATCATTAATGCTCACTAGTGATATCCCTGCTCTAATGTTGATTTACCATCTCTTCTGTGTTCACTGTTTGAAATAACTTTAAATATTTCCAAACAAAGAGTAGCAAGAAAATTGGTAGAATTCATCAGCATATACATGTAGGTATGAGATCAAATTTATAGGGAGCTGGGCCCATTCACATTATTGTTTAAATGAACTCAGAAAAGGCTCATTTTTGGGGGGCTAGTACATTTTTGACAGGTCTGACAACTTTCACTAGCAATCAGCCCTGCATGTCTACTGTCTGCGTAATTTTTCAGGGAGTTTCAAACATTGCCCTTCTTGTATTTCGAGTACATACAAAAATAAATCCAGTGCCACTATATGGCATGCCTAGCAAAGAGTACTAAAATTTCAATCATCAATTCTACAATTTAATAAAGTAGTAAGTTGCGCTGAGAAAAAATTGTTAAGGACAGACACAACTGACACTCAGACAGACACACAAGGATTATATCACAGTATAAGTATTACCCCTCTCTCCTTAGGAGTGGGGGTACATGTAAAATGAAAGATGATAGATAAAAAACATATTTTTTTCAACATAGGATTATACTACTCTGAATTTAGTACATGTATATTATATATTCAAAGTTATGAAACCTGCAAGGCGGTGAAGAAAGTAGGCTTCTGTTTGGTCCCTTGTTACACTAGGTAAAAGTCCTTGGTGATCTGGCTTCAATTGTTGAAATCCAGTGGATGGCCAGTTCACATCTAGAGGTTCTGGCAGAAGAACAGGCGGTGGTAAAAAGTTCTTGTTCCTATCATAGGACTCAAGCCTGGATATAAATTATTGTTGGAATTTAGAATTAATCATTACCCAGATATTTGGATGAAAATGGCATAATTCAGATTATTATTTCATAAGCAGATAAGTTAGAACAAACATAAAATACTGTATATATATGTCTATAAAAATAGGGAAAAAGTTTCAATATATTGCATTATTACACATGAAGTAGGTTCACCGGCCTACGGCAAGCTCACTTATGGTATAATAAGGGAGACATTTTTTTTCTAAATTATTGAAAAATAGCCCTAGAGCATAAAATTGACCTCAATTTTCATTCTTTTTTTTTTTACTTTCAGTTTATAAAGTAAAACTCTCTTAATTTCTAAGTTGTAGTATAATCTGATTCATTGCTCTTTAATTTGAAACATTTATAATTTCACTATATAGGCCTAATATGGTGATAAATTGTATTTTTCAACCTTCAACATGGGAACTCCGAAGGGTATGGGGTTCTAAGATATATAATGTGTGTTTATCTGGGTAACCTTATAATGTGAATAAAATTTAAAAAAAATGAATGAAACCGGTCGGATGGTCCCCATTAGATTATCACATGCCGAAAACCATATTCTTGGTTGAATGCTGATGCCTATCTACACTCTATAATATCGGTTTGACTGCAGATAAATACCATTAAAGGAGCTATGATCAAGGGTTTTACTTTATAAAACAAAGCTATATACAAATACCATTGTAATCGAATTCAATCATATATGTATAGGAAAACTAAGTGATGTCTAACTGATGACAAGGTTGAATTTGTTACGTAGGTCAACATAAACTGGACGGACACTGTTTTGTATTTCTATACGAAATTTTCTATGAACAAATTAATTTTTGTGTGAAAATATTGATCTCAAGGGTATACCTTTCAATCAGATCAGTTTTTCTCCCGTGAGTAGCTGCATCCCTGTGCATCAATTCCTTTTTTAATTGAGGTACCGTCCAAGTGATGTAGCACGACGCCATCGTTCAGAGTAGGATTCAAACGCACAGTTAACCACCGATAGAAATCAAGCGTCTCGCGGTGATTGTTTACCATTGAGACGACATTTTCACAAATAAAAACGGAAAGAACGCATATGACCTCTCTTGAGTATTAAGGATCACTTATATTTGGACAAATATTCCAATTTTTACTGAAAATCCTTGATTATGAAGTGTATATATTCCTATTGCATATATCTGAATGGATGAATGATTTATTCCTCTTAATCTAGAAAAATACTTAGGAATCTTGCTGATTTTTTTTCTTTACAAAATATACTACTTAGTAATTAAAATATTGACAAGATCATGCAACATTGTACTTAATTTCTTAGCATGTACATCTACAATAATAAATCAACACTAATCAATACTTTCAGTATTTTGATTATATGCTCTCTCTCTCTCTCTCTCTCTCTCTCTCTCTCTCTCTCTCTCTCTCTCATTATCCTTCTCCCCACTCCAACTAGGAGTAGGGAGTCGAGGTGGCATAGGAATTGGGCAGGTTAATCTAGAGGGGAATGTTTCCCTTTCGAATTTTCCCTAACCTACTTCTCCCTCTCCCAGCATCTTTTCTCTCACACTACTCTCTCCCTCTTTCTTACCCTCTCTTTCTTTTTTTTAAAAATTCTTTTCTGCGTTACATCATTTCACCATCTCTTTATCGTAGAGAACCTTATATATGGAAACATTATTAAAAAGTATTAGTGTTTTAAGTCTGGCATTACTATTATCGCCAAAATTTAGGGGTACCGGTTGGTTAGATTACAGTGTGCGGGAAAAACTTTTTTCAGCACTAGCCCAATCGAGCTAGTAATGAAGAACAATTACTAGCCCGAATCAGATTTTGCTAGCCCACATACTTTACAACATGAATACATAACTAAGAACATTCAAGTGATAATCTTTTATTGTGTTAATTCATTTCCATTTCCACTTCATAGTTCAAAATGTTCTTTCCCACTGTGTTTTCTGATATTTCATTGTCAAATTCAGTCTCGCTTTCTTCACTTTCTTCCTCAGTCTCACTCTCTTCAAATTCTTCTTCCTCACTGTCTGTCTCCTAAAAATATTCAAAACAAATGTACAGATGGAAAATAAGATATTCAGTTGCACAGTGCAAGGAAACACTTCATATAAATTTACCAGAGCTTGAGTCATAGATGTGCCTGGCTGTGGCTCCTCTGATGTGCCTGGTTGGGGCTCCTCTGATGTGCCTCCCTCAGGCTGGGCCTCCACATGCATATCTTTTCTTCATCTAGTGCTCTCTTTTTAGAACTGCAACTTCTACTGTATGTAAGTTTTCTTTTCCTGATTGGGGCAACCTTAAAAGTAAGTAACATCAAGTCCTTTTGCTTGGTCAAGCTTGCATAACAAAGGGTACGTTTTAAATGAAAGATGTTTTTTTGCCACGGCATTGGCATTCCGGAACAGAATACTCAAATTTTTAAACTCGTGACTCTTCAGTTGTCGAAGCGCTTTAGCGGCGTCCGAATTTTCAACTGATGCCCTTGTAGAAACTGATGCAGCGTATATATGAGGTTTAGACAGCTCATGGGCCACAACAGCATCGATACGGAAGTTTTCAGATCCAGTTGTGAATTTGTTTTTGCTTTTCACGTGTATGCAGTAAGTACAAGTCATGGTCTTTTTCACCTCGTCGTATTGCAGCCAAGGCCGCCCCTCCTTCCACTTGTTTAGAAATTCTCTTGTCCTTTTTACTTTATATTTCTTTTTAACTTCTGTCACATTCTGTTGGCGCTTTGTTTCTTTATTGTCTCGCTTAAACCAGTCGAAATTCATATTGATAGACATAACGCAGCCATAACCGGAAGTAAATGCTAATGTGCATTTTTATAAACCCAAACTGTACAGAGAAGACCGATTGCCGAAAGTTCTCGACACGCTTAAACAAAAGAAACCCACGCACATGTAAAAAGAAAGGAAACAATAAGAATTTTTATACTTATTTTATTACTTTTAAAGATTTATCAACAAATAAATGTAAAATGCATGCAACTTTTCACTAGACCGATCGGGCTAGTGCTGACCTACATTCTACTAGCCCGATCGAATTTTTACTAGTGTTCGGACATCGGGCTAGTCCTTTTGGCGCACACTGAGATTCAAAATTAATCACAACCAACAATTTCTAAGGATGATTTTGAACATTCTTGAAAAAATAATTTTCTAAAGAAACATATATGGACGTTACGCGCGATGTTGGTGCCATTTTACAATTTTAGAATCTGACCTATATTAAACTCACCGGTGATTTTAGAAAAATACTTGCAATATGGACGAATTTGGTATGAATGGATAGATTTTTTACAGAACTACCCGATTCTACGAGGGTTGATCCAAAAGTAATGTCACAGTGTCGATATCTTTTATATTTGGCGTCATATTATCAAATACAATATACCAAAAGATGCACAAATATAAATCTAATTAACATTGAAATTTTAATTTAATAATGTTTAGTCGAATTTATTTTATATATGTTTAAAACATAGAGCATAGGGGGTGTCGCCGCGTCACAACGGAACGTCGTGTTTTCAAGTGTATTTTTTCCTAAAATGAAAAAACACATTAATAAAAAGATTCCAAAAATGCACATAATCTCCAAATCTTTTTTAAGACACAATTCTCGCCATTTTCTAGTCTTTGATTGAAAATTAAATGACGGTATTGGTATTTGCGATCATAAAAATTGTTGTTTTACTCTAATGAATTGATCAAAGGGATTATCGAAATGGGAAAAAAAAGGCTCGACGAGTTGTAATGCATTTTTGCTTCAAAATATGGGAATCATCACTAGCGACATTTTCGTTAATCAATCAGACTTACAGAATAAAGAATGCAAATAAGAGACATCTTAATAGATGGTTTCAGCAATTTTGGGTGGGTGATTGGTCACTGAATGATTAGCAGAGGACAAGAAGACCGAAAGATAGGAGATCGGACGGAAGCGTTCAATGGTGTCTGACGTTGTCAAAAAAGACAGACGTATAGAGTGACATGTGATTTTTTAAGTTTGTCTTATGCTACTGTTCAAAAAAATTTGACAGAGGGCTTAATTATGAAAAGAGAAAGTGTATAATGGTACCAAGAATTCTTAAAGAAAGTGGAATTGGTGAAAGTATTTGCAAATCACAAATATTTTTTGATAAAACGAAGGGGAAACGCTTAAAAGTATGACGGTGTGTATCCGTCATATGACGTTATATTCAGGTGCGGCGACTACCATGAACGCGCATTGTTTAAAATCCGATATTTTGACAAATATACACCACATTCCTTTGAATTTTTCAGGTCTGATTTGAAATTAATAAAGCTTCTATCCTGTTTAATATTGTTGCTTTACGTCGATTTATAGCAATTTTATCAAAGTTGTGACATTACTTTTGGATCAACCCTCGTAGTAAGAAAAAAAAACATTTAAATAAATTTTATGCAAAAATTATAATTTTAAAACGCAAATAAAAGGTATTTTAAGCGTGTAACGCGTTACGTTTTTTAGCAGGGATCGTGCATTTTTCGTGTGTAGAGCGTTCATAAGTGAATCTAGAATTTTCATTTTCCTCACAGAACAAGATCAAACTATGTCGTTTGTGACTTCATTAACGATTTTGCATTAAATATCGACAAGAAATAGAAAGCGATATTTTTTACAGATGAAGAATCTGTAACGCTTTTAATTAAAAACGTGCTTATGAATATAAACAATAAATGAAATCATTTACAAGAAAGTTTAAATAGAAACAAATTATATCAAAATAATGTGCTTTTCCTATAGATTTGAAATATTTCATTTATATTGATATCAAACTGCATGCTTTGTAGCAAGTAATTGGATTACAAGTTCAACAGAAATGTCCAGCGTTTAAAATGACGTGCAAAAACAAGACAATGCTTTTTTTCGAGTCGTTAAATTATATTGTTTTCCCCATCGACTACAAGAATAATTAAATGTTCATAATGTGCTACTCTAAACGGTTAGA